AGATGATGGGAAAGAATTGACCAATCTTCTTTTCCATGCCCCCCCCCCGCAATCAGATTTCTGTTGTTCATAAGTAGAAAAGGCTGAAAAGAGAGAAAACACATTCTGCACAGCAGTAATAAACAAAACGGTAAAAGTAGATGAAGAACAACCGGTTTTACCGAATTTTGTCGTTCATCGTCATCGCCAAGTCGACGCTGAATAGCGGCTATGAGCAGGGGATAGCGGGTAATGCGCTGCATTGGCAGCATCAAGAACGAACGGATGTCCAGGCTTTCGCATATGTCGTTCTTTTCTAAATCTTCCAGTACGATTACAAATGGGCCGTTGTTCTCCCTATAACCAAAGGCTACCGTTTTACCAAACATTACCAAACAAACATTACCATACATATAAACATAAACACAAGAGTAAAACAAAATTTATGCAGAGTCTATATCAGAAAATAAAAATTGTCATACTCAACTCTGTCTTGTAATTTCAACAGCATTATTCAATCAATCAAAGCTTATTTACTTGTGCAAATTTCGTGTTTTTCCCTGCTTATAATCCATGGCACTCTTGAATTAGAGCTTATCTTATGTCCGTGAAATCTTGTGCCTTACCTTCCGTCCGTGAAATCGCTCACAAAGTAAATTATAGTTCTTGTTTCGTCTGTGATAATCATCCAAGAACAACAAGAGTTAAACAATGGAACTGCTCAGATTTCACTCAGATATCTTTAAATGAGAACGATTTGCAATATTGCTTAGATCTGTCACTTCTGTATCCCGGAAAATTCTGACGAAGTAATTATTAACGTCGCGGCGGGGGCTGTTTCTCCCATTAGTTAAACAATTCATTTAGTATAGTTTGCATTAATTTTTGTTGTAACTTTGTTAAGGACGAGATATGTCTGCTCTGGGACACAAACCCTTAGCTATGAAAACCTCCTCCATGACCTCCAACGGTGTTCTGGCAATACCAACGATTGCTTTGTCCATTCAGACTTCTGAAAAACGATGAAGGTTTCGGCTACAGTTTCGGACCCTCTTCGGTACGGTGGTCAAATTCCTGAATCCACTAGTTTACAACGGAAAATACAGAGCTTTATTATTACGCCTTTCTCCTTACTGATGATCATTCATCGATCAGTCTCCTTACACACTGTAGCAAAGCTACAACTCTAACAACAAATGATGCGATATGCAGCTGGTACTGCAGGAACTTAAAATTTGGAGCTGTGACACGTTAAACGCCTTCAAGGAGAAACGAGGAAGGGTAATATGCTGTGAAACCCAGTGAAATTGTTTGCAGTTATAGAAATCTAAAAAATTTACGGCACCCGGGGTCGTCTTCGATGCAATGGGATACGAAAAAGAATGTGTCGTTTAAGAAAGCGGTGTATGACCAATGCGGTGAACAAGACAGAATTGACCAACAACGTGATATTATATTACTTATTATCACATTTGTTAAATCACCCAATTTCATCTACGGCTATCAGTGTTATATACTAACAGAAAAAATGTGGTCGCAATACTACAAAACAGCAACAAAATCGTCTTTTATGTTGCTGTGACTTAATCTTGAAAACTCTCACCGGATGAGTCATTTAATTAAGAATACAAAATCTCTACCTACGTGGCACTAATTCGAAAATAGTGCTTTAATGATTATTCGTTTGACGAACATACATGCGGTACAACATATCCTGCCTTTCTATATCAGAATATGTCGTGGTCTGAAAATGTTCAGCTGGATAGTGACGAAACGGGGAACAGCGTGTACCATCCTGTTAGTCAGCGGCAATTAGTGGCTCCAAAAACCATTCTGCATTTTTTCATCAAACTGTGTACATTTCCATTTACAAACGCCTTGTCCATCTTCCTTCCTGAATTTCTGACATCGATCTTCGTGCTGTGTTCTTCGCCGATCCCTCAATTTGTTCGTATGTAATGGGACGTCGATTTTGAAGGTCTGGTCAGAGAAGCTGTACAATGCAGTGGAAAAGCTACCTCACGCTTGAGCATCGATATTTTCTCCAACAACAATCACCCGATTCACCCGGCTCAGTTTTTTACATATCTTTTACATCCCGATAGGGGATCGATAAACTGAAAATGTACTGTAAAATTTGTAACGGCGGTGGAACGTAATTCAGTCTTTTCTGCCTTGGCAAGCATTATGGATTAATCGCTGCATGCTTACAGACAGTGCAAACAGCTGCTTAATTTGCGTATCGCTTAACGTGTGTTTATGTGCTTCGTACTTTGTTATTTTGTGTGCTGAAAGATGTGGCCAAATTTTGTATATCCAACAATTAGGTTCTTCGAAAGACAAATCCAATGTGACAAAGCCTGACAAAATTCTGATGGCAGTCTGAAAAACCATTCTCCAGGGGGACAGATGACAATTTAACTGGTATCATATGCGATCAAGATGGTAGGCGAGACTCACAGTAAGTCCCACAGTAAGAAGTCAACGGTATATCGAAGAGTTGGCACTATAATGTCTCCAATGAATCTAGGTCAAATCGATCTTCACAATGAATTGGGCTGATATGAAAAATTCCCTAAAAAAGTCACTCTACATTCGTAACGCGATACGAGCAGCAAGCTATGGAAATGAAGTGGTGCGAAACCTATCCAAGTTGTTGTAACTAGCGGGTGTTTTGTACTTAAAAGCAATAATTGTCAGGCTTAATCTAATAGGTTTAAGTTTTTTGTCACTCCGTAGATTCCGGTGTCATTTGACAGAACAAAGTCATTACAAATGATAAAGTTAACCCAGACGTTGCCGGGTAATTACCACATTGTAGCTTTCCGATTCCATCGGAACTTATGAGGTTTGAATTCCAATTTGATACTCGGAATGATCGTACTTCTAACCTTTTATGAGATGCATTTAACTGGATCACGGCTTCATGATATTTGAGTACCTGTTATGGACTGGATGAAGAAACGTGCCATTTAATTTGTCTGAACAAGGGCACGTTCGAACACCAACCAAATCTGTCACTATTCATAACCATCGTAGAATTAAAGTCAGTACAAATTGTAAATACAGAGAAACCCTCCAAACAAGCTTTGTTCCCTCCACAACCTTCAAACTGCTGCATAAACGACGTCTCACCTCAAATGTTTCAGCATACGTTCCTGGTAGATCTGGTTGCTACAGTAGCGAATGTAGACGCCGCTGGAAGCGGTCAGGTGGCGCGAAAGGATGTCGCAGACGTTGTCCAATACGACGCTGGTGTTCAAACGAGCTTCGAGGTCATTGAAGAGTCTGCAATGGAAAAAATGAAAATCGGAAAAAACTGACGCTGCAGCTAACGAAATCACAAGTGCATATTAACCTACACATCCATGTGCTGTCAACGCAGCTGACCGCATCACATTTGCTCAATATGTCACTTGTTTCGCTCTTCGAATCCAGGGCCGACACCACGCTTGTTCAAGTAGAGTCAAGTCACATGAGTTGAATGCCATAAAGAAATCAAGTACTATGCTGCTCGAATTGATTTGAAGCACACCAGGCAAAATAAGGCTGTTTTACATTTACAACTTATTTTTAAAAGATTTGGACACCGCTAGAATGTATGGTTTAAATGAAGCATTGTTTGCTGATGGAGCTGATGCCGCCAAAGTGGAAGGGGCATGAGCTACAAGAAAAGTTTTATAGAAAATTTACAATAAACAGAACATACAGCTTTATGAAAATGGTAAAGAAGGCGTCATCGTCACTAAACACTTGCTTCATGAGTTCATAAAATAATTGGTCTTGGTTTCCGTTGAAATGTCGCAAACAAAGGCAGCGGCAGAAAACGTGTAACGTTCATCCATAGCATTAATCATCTGCTTTGGCTAAAGAGAGTCGAGTCGCACATCCCTAACCAGCGAAAATTACTTGGCACTATGAAAATGAGAGAAACATTTTTCGCTGTACATGACAGGGGGCTCTGCAACGATCGCATTTCGTTCATGTGCTACTTGAAGCAACTAGCGGCAATTCTTGCTGTCTCGAACTGTTATATTCGGAGTACTATGTTGCTACAACACCGCTGTATATCAATCATGGAAAACGATACACATCGGTTAATAAGAAACAACATTAAAACGATTTAGAAGAAACGGTTCTGTCTAAATGAATACTTATGCACATGTTATGCACATACTTATACACATAGATTACATGTGTTGAAAGATGAATTGCGTTTCGGGATCCAAATTCTCCTTGATCTGAAGTGAAAAATTCGTGCAGGCTTTGAAAAATGTGATTTAGATAAAAACGCACACAAATATATCTGAGTGCTAGACGCCGTAAATCTTTTTGAACAAACTTAGTGTCACAAGCCGTACTGGTTGACTTCGAGCAAATGACAACTGATACAGCTTAAAGTAGCTTCTTATGAGTAACGCATTACAGGTACTTTTTCATTTTGCACAGTGTCACTGTCACCGTCGAGAAGAGCAATCCGTCTACACCAGTATGTACTGAAACTGATTCGCAGTTCAATCCAAAATAGTAATACAGCGGTGTTACTGGGTTATCAATAAGCTCACACGGATACCTAAGCCTCATTACTGCTCAATGCATATTTATGCATGAATTTGATGTTGGTTGAGGCAGAGATGTTAATGCTTTAAACACTACACATGACCAGCATGGGCTGAAAATTACTTTAGACACATGCCATGCATATCTGGACTGAAACTGAAACTGATTTCAATATGTACCGGTATGGACGGATTACTGCTCCGGTCGGTAACATAAGTACAGATGATTTCAAGCAAACATTCTATGGCACAAATACTCAACCGATGATAACTTAACCTTGATGGTACGAATGTTCGGAATACTCGTTGCTGCCGGCTGTTGAAGTCGTTTCTCAGATGCACGGTTATCTCTGCGAAACATGGATTTTCACCATTCTGGAGAAAATGGATTTGTCATCCGAACTGATATCAGATGAGTTGACTAATGCTTAATCCTAGTAACTTAGCCATTTGAAATCGTTACAACTGTCAACGGTTTACCACGAAAGTGAAAACGAGCATAGTAGAACATTAAGATGCAGAATTTTTTCCAGATAGTTGACTCTGTTACTGTTTTTTTTTCACTGAACAGAACTCAGACAACGGAGAACCCAAATTTGTGATGTTACACGCAAATTAACTCCCACCTTCCTTCAATACGGAAATTCGTCACCCGCATCCTAAAGGAACAAAGCCTTAACGCAGCAAATATTAAGCTCTATGTCGCTGATGAGACGCCAAGGAGAAAAACGTAGAATCTATTCAACGGATCATCAATATATTTCCGGTTCTTAATGTCCAGAAGAACGCGATAGCGCAAACGCTTACGTAACAAATCCCGAATGGCGCATGATGGATCGATGCAAGTCTTCTTTCGGCGCGGTAAAGATGATTCTTCATTTGTAGATGGTAACACGTTGCGTGGTTCAATAGAAGGATGTACTTCAGAATTTCTCAAACTCATACCGAAACTGAACCGTTGACGACCTCAAGTAATAGGTCCTCTGATTCCATGCTTGACAGTACGAGAAACAAAGAAAAACAATTATTTGCAAGAATTTCAACGTCTCGATCGAACTGCATCGGTCATCATCAGCGAATGAACACGAAACAAAAACAAAATGCCTCGTCAGTTAGTGCTTGACCCGATTGGTTGGACAATAGACCGATCACCAATCAAAACATGAATCATTAATTAGGCTGCTTAAATAACAACAGAGCTCATGCAACCGCTTCATGTTCTATTTCTGCTGTCAGCGATTCCTTGATTAACGGTTTCACCTCGTCGTGGGGTCTATCGACCATCATGACATAACTGTTGTCACAACATAAGTCATGACTGTTTTCTAGGGAATTAGCAACGAATCCAAAATTATCAGCATTACGGTACCTATGATTGTCTTGCGTTCCGTTAATCTGATTTTTAACGCTTATGACGCCTCGTTGATATAAATGCAATCACATTAATTTTCATGATAACAATTTGATAGACAGCGTTTTTATTCTCTAAGACTGGATGAGGATACAGCATCTTATGCAACAAGGTACTGAAAGTACTTTCCCCGCCGAAAAGTACAATTAAACCACACATTTTTACATACCGTGTAAAATTTTAGACTATGCTGGGAACGTAACGTATCGAGATCATAGAAATCGAATAAAAAAAAGGACGGGACAAAACTCTGAACGTTTAAACATAGAATTAATTCAATATTTAGTATAACCGTTTTTAAGAAAAGATTATGTTAATGAAAAATGTTCGATGTCACTAATGAAGAGTCGGTAATTTGCGCAATAACCTCGAGTCGCAAAAAGCATGTATTTCACTACATTGATGAACATAAACTTAGGAGCGTAAGATGAAGTGTTAAGGTAACAGTTAAAACGCCGTGATCTTCTATATAATGTGAGAATGTACGATTGCCATTTCGTTTAACAAGCATGTCAAAAAGGCCATTCGGTTACTGTATTCGTTCCATGAAGTACATTCTTCTGCTTAATAAAATATTTGTTATTTAAATGATTATGATTATAATGCAAAATGAAAACGTCGTCTATATATCTCAAATTAAGAGCAAGTATGAAGTGAGGTGAGCAGAGAGTTATGACATTAGATTCTGCATCCGATTCATGTAGATCTCTGCGAAGACTACACCACTAGTGATGTGAAGCCTGATTACTTAATCGCTTAATTGGTGACCGGTCAAACGTTCCTCCTACAGGGTCCAGCACCAACTGACCCAGCAACTGTGCTCTTTTTGTTTATTTCCTAAGGATGGTAGATTCTTATTCAGCTGAAACATTGGAACGATTTTTCTCGATCTCGTACTGCATACCATACAATCAGAGCATACGTCAGCTTCAAGATAACTTTTTAAAAGACAGCTTCTCGAACGATCGGTTCAAACCAAAAATGTATGATAAAGAATTTTTACCCTGCCCTGCCTTGCATAACAGCCAAAGTTAAGATCATCACTGCAGTGGAATCGTTTGGCTGAGCGGGACGGCCTAACGAAAGCGGTGCCTCTGCTAAACCAATACACACCCTCTGTATTAACGAGTTTAATTGCTTGTGGTTGCCCTTAATTATTATTTTCATTAATTATTTAATGTATATAAACGGCGACCCGTTGATCTACAGAAGAGTCGAGCTGATAACCACCGAAGCGCCAACCAACTATTCTTACGCGTCGGCATTCTAACACCGCTGATTCGTCCACGG